CAGCACAAGCATATGTTACGCTTAGGTGAATTCTCAGCCACTTTGTATACATGAGCGAATTCAAATCACAGATGAGAATCATTTCATGTGGCATACCTCAAGGATCTATTCTTGGGCCTACCCACTTTCTCATTTATATATCGAGATTAAATTTAAATGGTGAATTGAAATAATGTGAGTATGACCCGCTTTCAAAATTATTCATTTGAAAGAAAACACTTTGTATACATGAGCGAACTCAAATCACAGATGCGAATCATTTCATGTGGCATACCTCAGGGATCTATTCTTGCGCCTACCCTCTTTCTCATTTATATATCGAGATTAAAATCATTCATGGATGACCCGGTTTTAAAATTATTTATCTGAAAGAAAACACTTTGTATACATGAGCGAACTCAAATCACAGATGAGAATCATTACATGTGGCATGCCTGAAGAACCTACTCTTGGGGCTACTCTATTTTTCATTTATATAAATTCGATATCGAAATTAAATTTGAATGGTGAATTGAAACCATTTGTGAAAGACACTTATGGACGTTCTCCAGACGATATAATACTCATATTGCGTCCTTACCCGATCAACCCACGAGTGCGGACGATGTCAAGTTATCTTGATTTTTTATCGAGTATTACTAAACAAAAAAAGTGTAACGATGACAATTTATTTCGTGTATTCATTATATTTTGAGGCTGTAACAGCATATATATGTAGTTTTGTTTAGTCTACCTGATCAAATAGTATAGAAAAATATTTTTCAGAGAAAATATGGCTGTTGGACATTTTTTCTTCCCTGCTTCGAAATTCACAAAGCAAATTAAGAGTGAACTATATGGATTCACGGAAATTCTTTGTAAGTATCTGATTCATTTTCCACCTACTGTGATTTGTTACAAAAGAGTGGAATATAAATGGATGGAATATGGGTTTTATATGTTCTGACAAAATTATATTTTTCACAAGCACTTTTCCAACTTATCTAGATACAAACCATGTAATTGTTACCTTTCATGTGAGGAGAATGGTTCGAGGAATTTCGAATCGTGTTGAAGAATTTGATTGTGAAACTGAGGAGTTTCATAATTTTTCATTGGCAACGACATCTTAGAGAGAACGACATTAATCGAAATACTCACGTATGCTCACGTATACGTATGTCGATTTCAATCTGTTAGCATTATAATATTATACTAGAAGCGTAAGTATACAGTGAAATTCTTTAATGTCTCCCCCCTTTTATTTTCTGAACGGGTCAACTAAGAAAATTGAAATTTGGGATAATGAAATTAATGCATGAATACTTCATTTTGAAATGAAATTGACAGATGAAATTTTCAAGGTGGCCACTGAGCGCCATCTGGGAAAAAAATTAAATGGAAAAGGGGGTCTTGTAATACATATTTTGGAAGCTCCTGACAAATGCTTCACAACCCTAGAATATAATGTCAATATCTTCAACTGCTACAAAATGGCGGAACTTTCAATAATTGCCTGAATACATTTGACATTCAACTAAATAATATGAGGTGATAAGCTTGAGGTCAGTTCAAAAGATGCTCGAAATGGTTGCTTTGAACTTCTTGACATATGAAGAGCCTATCCGATATTTCACGCCGAACATTTTCGAACACAGTAACGCCAACATTTCTACAAATATTTATTATTCTCTGCCGTATATCCAATATTGAAGCAGGTTCAGTTTCGTACACCTTTTGCTTCAAATATCCCCATAAAAAAATCCAAAGGTCTCAAATCTGGCGAGCGAGCTGGCCATTCTGTAGGACGTCGACGGCCAATCCAACGAACAGGAAAAGTAGTATCCAAATAGTTTCTTACTTGTCTGGAGTAATGTGGTGGTGCTCCATCTTATTGAAATACAATATCCATATCGAATTCATTAGAATTCGCTTCGATCATTTCGGTGATGAGAGGGTCAACAGTAGTTTCCCGCATATTCAATTACAGTTCCTCTGTTAAATTTTGATCAATAAATAGAGGTCCTAGGTTTCCCAATATTCCCATCCAAACGTTAATTTTTTCTGGATATTGGGTATGTGTTTCCCGGAAAACGTGAGGGTTGATGTCACTCCAATAACGACAATTTTGTCTGTGAACATTGTCGTTGAAAAAATGTACATTCGTCATAGATAGGATGCCTTGCAATGGTTTTCTTCATGATGGTGTACCATTTTAATTTTGTATAGATGATACCTATTCCTCTTCAAAAGTTTCCACACAATAGAAGGAGACACCTCACAAACATTCGCGACGGAAAAGTAGACTGTTCAGGATTTACTGCCATCTCACCAATTATTTGCACTTGCTGTTCTTCAGGAATGGACGGATGACCTGATTAGGACATACGTCCATAGGACGTTTTTTCCTTAAAATGGGTCTAAGAATTACCTCCTTAAATATTAGCATGTGTTTAAGGAACACCCTGTAGATAAAACCAATGATTCGCACAAATTCGCCTTCACCTTCATGGGTAGGAAATTTCGGTGTCCATATATAATTTTAAGGGAATAATATGCACGCCTAATAAACTGATTAAAATGATGCCCAGGCTTTTGGCTTCTCGGACAACCCCAAGTACATGATCATTTACTACTACTTTCACAGATTTGCAAATTTCATTTCTAGGGCCTTTTGGTCCGAAAACAATAACATTAGATTTACTACAATTTATATTCAAGCAGCGATCAGAAGCATTTTTCACGAATAATTTTAAGTCACTATTGATTTGAGTACACATTATCTATCATTTCAGGTGAGAAGCTATAATACAAGTGGGTATCGTCTGCATAAATTACAAAATTTTAAACATTTTGCAAGTTGAGATGTGTAGATAGCAAACAAAAGGGGGCCCAAAATAGAGCCCTGTGGCACTCCACATATCAGCTTTAAGTATTATGAGCTGTTTCCTTCTATGGTAACTTTTTGTTGACGGATGGTGAGATACGATCTGATTAGTGATATAGCATTTTTAGAGAATCGTATATAGCCAAGAATTAATAACATTAAATCGAAGTTGATAGTATCGAACGCTCTACTAAAATCGCAGAACACGCAAAACACTTCCAACTTTTATGCTTTTCACCAACAAACTGAATATACTAAACAGCTGTAACCGTGAAAATATAAGTGAAACGAGTGTCAATATAAAAAAATTAAAAAATCGATACTCGTAGCCCGCTTTATTTGAGCATTCACGTTATTTTTTTAACAAACCTCATATACTCAGATAGATATTGGTTTTTTTGTGGAGGGGGAGCAAGTTTTACAGTTACTAACCATAAGATCAGTGTAATATTTATTGTAATTCGTGAAACATTTTTACTGAACAAAGATGATCATTATTATATGAGTAGAGATTCATTGGAAAAAATAAAAAGCTATTCGTCATACAGTATATTTATATAAGAAATAATTTTTACAAATAAAAAGCATGGTTATAACAGGGTTTTTTCTATTGGTTTGTATGATAACTGAACTAATATCAATAAACTTCATCAAATTTGCTCAAAGAATTATACGAGTCTGAGTTTTTGATAGAAATTGTATTTCCGATATTCTGGTACAAATTTCTGATTACATGATCTCTCCAGAACTTGTCAGCTAATAAAATTCAAAAATAAGTCATAATAAAATAAACACATACATAAATTTGATTTCTAAGAAACACTAAAAATGATTTCAAAATTGTTCAGTCATGAGTTAAGGAAATTTACCACACAAAGATAGCACCTCAAAAGGAAGAATATTTGTAAAAAAAATAACGAACCACTATTTGTGTGTGGACTCTCTTCAATGAAAGAGAGACCAAAAAAGAGTTATGTCAATATTCATTTCTCCCCTTCTTTGTCACAGAGAAATGAAGCTGACGAAGGTTCTAAATCAAGCAAGCAGCTCATAAAAATTGAGGTCCTCAAGCTGACAAATGTTTCAAATGAAGTATATAGCTCATAAAAATCGAGGTCCTGAAGCTGACAAACGTTTAAAATGAACCACATATCTCATAAAGTGGGGGCCCTGAAGCTGACGCTTTAAATTAAGCGGATAGTTCATACAAATCGAGGCCCTGAAGCTGACAAATGTTTTCAACTAAGCATACAGCTCATAAAAATTGTGGTCCTGAAGCTGACAAAGGTTTTAAATGAAGTATATAGCTCATAAAAATCGAGGCCCTGAAGCTGACAAACGTTTAAAATGAAGCACAGATCACATAAAGTGGGGGCCCTGAAGCTGACAAAGGCTTTAAATTAAGCGAATAGTTCATACAAATCGAGGCCCTGAAATTGACAATTGTTTTCAACTAAGCATACTGCTCATAAAAATTGAGGTCCTGAAGCTGACAAAGGTTTTAAATGAAGTATATAGCTCGTAAAAATCGAGGTTCTGAAGCTGACAAACGCTTAAAATGAAGCACATATCTCATAAAGTGGGGGCCCTGAAGCTGACAAAGGCTTTAAATTAAGCGAATAGTTCATACAAATCGAGGCCCTGAAACTACTGAAGCTGACAAAAGTTTTGAATGAAGCATATAGCTCATAAAAAATCGAGATCCTGAAGCATACAACTCAAAAAAATCGAGAACCTAAAGCTGACAGAGATTTTAAATGAAGCATATAGCTCATATAAATCCAGATTCTGAAGCTGACAAAGGTTTAAATTGGGGCATAAAGCTCATAACATCTAAGGCCTAAAGTTGACAAAGGTTTTAAATGAAGCATGTAGCTTATATAATCGAGACCTTTAAGCATATAGTTCACAAAAATCGGGACTCTGAAGCTGACAAAAGTTTTGAATGAAGCATATGGCTCATAAAATTTGAGGCTACAAGGTTCATTTCCTTAAATCACATAGAGGAACTAAAACGTAAATATCTAGTGGTGGTGTATGAGTGCCACAGACGTACTATCAAGTTTGAATAGTCAATCGTTACACATCTGTTGATGTGATGACATGAGTCAATATTTAAAAATAAAAGTACCAATATGATGTGTCGATGAATGTAATTTAAAGTCGATCAAGCACTTCTCTTTGCACTTTCTTCACAACTGGTTCAAGAGTTCCAATGATTGTTAACTGCCAAATGACTTGTACGAACTACTACTGACGCTTATCCACTATTTAAACTACATAACTATATTCACAATTCGTACCCGACTAGAAATCACGAGATAAAAATCACTAAACAATATTATACATACATATTAATATCAACATCATCCGTACTGCTACTGGCAGCAGATCCGCGAATATTCACCTCCAAGTTATCACATGAATGTACCGTTACGCTACGTACGGAGCAGACGTCATCCGATCCGTCACTACCGTTGATACTCTGATAGTCCCCATTGATGCTGTGATGATCAGAGGCGGTGACCAAGTTTGCCGCTCCGGATTGTTGGGATATAGAACGGGCAGCTCTTTGGATAGGATTCTCTGATTGGTCCTGGAATGTTCCGCCTTGTGTTCCACGGTTATTAGAATTTATCAGGGGAGTGGTATCGTCACTATCGGAGTCGCTGTCAGAATAATTGTGAGGTTCGTCATGAGCAAATACTTTCCGTTTGCATATTGGGCACACTCTTCTATTTTTTGTCAACCATGGATCGATGCACTTGGAGTGGTACACTGGAAAATTAACTGTTATTAGTTTTGAAAATGAGAATAATGACTCTTTTCATTTGCTAGATACTTGAAAAGTCTACTAGAACACCAAATTTCAGGAGTCTTCCTTTTCAGAGCCAACTCTTCCATTATTTTTCAATATCACAACTTTGTAAGAAATTATAATACTCCGTTTCCTAATAGTATAGACCAGTCTTTCTCAAAGTGAGCGATAACGCCTCTTGTGGGCTCTGGAGATCCATAGGGGAGCAATAAAGAACACAGAGAAGATTGGGGGGCGTTGAAGCGGTTTAGGGGGGCGATGGCTTTTAACACAAACTTTACCGCTCCTTTACGCTTAACGCGCGTTTCCTCGTGTAACGCCATCTAGGGGACTAGACAGTAACTATTTCCTGTCCGATAGTTGTCAAACTGTACAATAGATGGCGGTAAACTTCAATGCGAAGCGAGAAGTTTCTAGTCTCCATTCTTGAAGGTACTAGGCCCGCCCGCTGCCTCATATAAAAGCGCGCGCGCCATCCAGCCAGTAATGTCATTCGACGACATTACGAAAACAAATGAATTTAGTTAGCGACTAGCTAGGTAAAGTGCTGTACGTGCGGTGGTGAATACTGTGAGTGGTGTCATTATCAAGTTTTTAATACTCGATTCTTTATTTATACCTTGTTGAAAACAAAATTATGTCGGAAGCCAAAAGAAGAAACGGTAGTATAGCACCGAACATATACAGGGCTTTTCATGATGAGCGTTAATTAGCCGTTTCTGACAAACTATTTAACGAATCAACCTGAAAATTTCACAGTATGCATAAATCAATATGACCTACACGCCTAAAATATTTCTGACGAAGCGGCGTTGTCGCTTCTACTATAAAGTAGCGGCTTCTAGGGATGCTCCAATGAAGTTTCTTTATATGAAAGATCCTATCTTTTTTTCGATGAGGAATCACCTCCTTAAATGTTTTACACTTATTCAGTTACACTGTATATATATATACAGGGTGGGCCATCGAAAACTTGACATGGAGGTTTTGGGTACTAATTCTTGCAAATCCAATGCGTGCAAATTAGTGCAAAATTAGTACCCCAAACCTCCATGTCAAATTTTCGATGGCTCACCCTGTATTATTGTGTTTAAGAACTTCATCACCATCCTTCTACAATTTCACACACTCGGTCTTTATTACGAGGGCAATACTTGCGATGGTGTCCTTTTTGAGTGCACATATTACAGAAACGGTTTACCGCCAAGCACTTACCTTTATCATGTTGTTAGCCACAACAACAGAGTCTGTTCAAAACAGAAGAAGAATTTTCATTTTTCGCGAAACGGCGTATTCATGGGTCTTTTCAAACGGTGGCTGAGGCATGATTATGGTGTTGTTTTTGACTGAAATTGTTTTTCCACAATACCGGACGTGTTCTTCGTATTGACCAAACGATCATGTGGCAAAAACTAATGCACTCCGCCACGGTAATTAATGAAAACAATGAGCCAAACATTGACATTTGATCGAACTAGCGTTATTTTTTGGTCCTTGCTTTCCTGGGCTATTATTAGGACGATTGAATCGCCGTTGAAGTCATTCAAGAATTCCAGAACGATGCTCATGTGACGAGTGTTTTTGGTCACAATTCAGAAATTTTGAAACGAGTTTTGCTGCCACACGCTTCATGCCCAAAATTTACGAAAAAATCGCATTGCATGAGCCAACCAATGTGCCGATATTCCCGTCAACTTCTCTAATAGTGATTCGACGATTTGGCTCAACAATTTTCTCCACTTTCTCAACATTTTCATCAGTTTTTGATGTGCTGGGGCGTCCAGGACAAGTGTCGTTATTCGCATCTTTTGTGGAAAGCTTGTAACACTTGAAAACTTTGTCCTGATTCAGAGTACAATCACCGTATGACACTGTCAACATTTAAAGTGCTTTTGGGCACCCAATTCCATTTTATACACAAAATTTGATGCAAATTCTTTGATCCATTTTTTTCGATAGAAGGAAATAATAATAATAATATCGCCTGATACATTTAAAGCAAATTAATCATGTACAGTTCATTTATTATAAAAAGATAAAAGGCGAAGTTCAATTTACATGATGACAAGTCATCATTCAATTGCTCTTCCACTTAACCTCAAAAATGTCGCCTAGTATGCAAAGGAATAAACAAAGATTACCGCTCCAACCAACTTTCTTTTTTGTACCAACTGATTTTATCGAAGTAAAAGAAGTTATGACAAATTAAAAAACAAATCCTCCTCGGGATGGGACGATATTTCCGTGAATATCCTTCTCAAATCACCTGATATAGCTCTGATTGTATCAGCTGAAGCAATTAACTTATCGTTGTCCCGTGGGACATTTCCGTCATGCCTCAAATTGGCAACTATCATTCCCTTTCACAAGGGGGGTGATTTCGAGTTGCCTTCCAGCTATAGACCAATTTCTATACTTCCTGTTATCTCAAAAATTGTCGAGAAAATTATGAAGAGGAGAATGACAGCATTTCTCAAAAAATTTAATGTTCTAAGTAACCGCCAATATGGATTTCAATGTTCTAAGAACACTCAGGACGCCATTTTCACTTTCTTAGAATCTCCTTATATCAATTTAAATGAACGAACTGCGTAAATCATGGAATACTGCTCCGCAAACTTGAAGTTTATGGGTTTCGAGGCACGGTACTGTCCTTCAGGTCGTACTTATCGGAGCGTGGCCAAATTGTATCATTTAATGGTAAAGTCTGGAAAGCAAGTAATTGAGAGTGGAGTTCCTCAAGGATCAGTTTTGGGCCCGACTCTATTTCTCATTTATATTAACGACCTCACCAACTTAGACATCAATGGTGAAATTACTATTTTTGCAGATGATACATCGATTCTATGGCACAACAAAAGCTCTTCAGAGCTTAACTACCACATAAGCATAGATATAGAAAAAGTTAAGAATTGGTGTGATTCCAATCTTCTAGCTTTCAATATAAGCAAAACAAATATCATAACATTCAAGGGCGACTTAGATGATGTTTATTTGGA